CTGTTACCGCTGGACTAAGTAATCCCATGCGCATTCAGACAAGCTGGAAGTTGCGTAGTGAAACTTCGCGTAGGAAGTAAGTGTGGTCGTGAACACGGTGAACACAGCCAACGGCAACTCAGTAGTCCTCGTTTGGTTTATAAAACCCGCCTTATTAATATTATAACTAAATTCCTTGTCTGTGCACTCACCACACACAGGACATAGCGAAAATAGACGTGTTCCCTCAATAACTTTGCGGTAACTTATCTAGTTCTGGGCGTCTTTCCAAACACCAATTACTCAATATTATTTATTTATTTATATCAAATGGTAGGAGTTTTGATAGTTATCATTAGCCCTTTAGTTGACTTCAAGCTTCAGTTATCATTAGCCCTTTAGTTGACTTCAGGCTTCGCAGAGGGGAAGGAACATCAAGGTGGAAAAAAGTCGAGAGGGGGTGAACAGAAGAGTTCTTCAAAGACGAAGGTAGAAAAAAGGTGAGATGAGTACTGTGAAAGTAGTCGAATATAACATACAATGGGTGAGGGTAGTTTGAAGTCAGAAGTCAACTGCCAGTTAATAGACTTTTTTGCCGTATGAATATACGTTGCCCAGGGTGCACCACGTGGAGGTAAGTCTATCGCACACCCTTATTTGAGTTAATTAAAACTAGCGTTATATATAGTGATATTACTTCGGGTCACATCGATGAAGGTCATTTCATGAATTTTAAAGCAGATTTAGTCCCATTAGTAAAGTTATGTTAGTAGCCAGGTTAGATTTGACCACATATCCCCTTTTGGTAACTAATGATATTCTGACTGCGGGGTGAGCGATGGACTTACCTCCACGTGATGTATCCTGGTCAACGTATGCTCATATAAATCTGCACTTGACTTCCCACTTCAAACAACCTGACCCCATTGTATGTTATATTCGAAAACTTCACAGTACTCATCTTACCTCATCTCTACCTCTGTGTCTGTCTGTCTCTCTTACATCTGCGAATCACTCTTCTCTAACCCCTCTCGAATTTTTCTCTCTTTGATGCCCCTCCTCACTGTGAAGCCCGAAATCAACTTAAGACTTATGACAACTATCAAAACGCTTGCCATTTGAAAAAATTAACAAGTCTTTTGATTGCTAATATTACGCTAGAGTCTTTCCCGAGTAAGAAGGCCAAGAGTGACTTTAACCCGGTGAGAGGAAAAAGGGGAAGAGTCTGAGGGGGAATTATGGTGAAAGGGGAAGGCACCAAACCGAATGAAGATGACCAGAGTTTGGAGAAACAAGTGCCATAAGATATTATAAGGAATTCGAAAAAAATACTCCCAGTAAGAGAGGGATATGAGTTAATAACCACTCAGTGCACACGGGGTATGTCTAGGAGACAGAGAAGGTAGGCTATATTGGACTAACCAATGACACAAGGGAGGAGGTTTGCAATAGAAGCTAAATAATGATAAAAAGTGGTGGTCCAATTCTTGCATATCAATAGAGGGAGATGACATTGCTCCGTGGACGCCATCAGGGCAAGTGGAATGAGTCATTTGTGTCACATCATCGGTAAGCGGAATGCCTTAAACGAAAGTGGCGTGAAAATCAATTTTGGCATTCGTGAATCTTAAAACAGATAAAAGTAAAACGTTACATCCTTGAGAGTATTTTGAAGTTCATTTATACTAACACATGATCGGTCCACCATGGCCCAGTCACTCCTCAAAGCGATTTATTCTTTTCAGCAAGCATTGAATCACCCTCAAATATACCTGAAGTGAGGTCAAACATTTCAAAAAGGAGGAAGACGGCCGCTCTCTGGGCACAACGAATGACACTTGTTTTTACTACCAAGTTTATGATCGACTCTCGACTTCCAAAATATGGGTGACTATTACGCTTTATATTAAAGTCCGATCTAACGTCCTCGTAATAGGCATTAATTAACTTTATCTTCGAGACTGGTTGATCGGAGCTGAATAACGAATGTTTAGAACGTTCGGCCTATGTGAGACAGACGCCCTTATCCTACCCTTAGAACTGAACTTCCAAGGTCGTGTCTATTTGGCTTAGAATTAGCAGAAAATAATCGTTATGGTAACCACCTATACCTCATTCCCAATCAGTATGCTTTCCCATTGCTCCATATGATGCATTCCTAGTAGGCGCGGTAACTTACGCCAACATGTACTATTTCATCATTTTAAAATATTTATGTGAGTCATAAGGTAGGTAATTGATGGTGCAATAGGCCCATATTTGGAGTGGGTGTGGGTATATTCCAGAGGAGTTAAAATAGGCGAGATGATTAGGAGCTTTTTTAAAATAATGTACAATGCAAAATATATTGTATTGAAAAATCATAAATGCGCGTTACATATAATAGTTGGTTCAACATTTCTGACCGCAAGACATAATTTCGCCGACCTGGAATCTGTCAAGATTAGTAAATCAAATGATTAACAATTTAAGATTATGAATACGAAATATTACAATGGATCAAACTGGCATGTGCCGATCCCCCTTAGAAATATGTATTTATCAAGTCGAACCAGTAGGTAATGAGCTGCAAGTTATAAAGGGAACAGCTTTTCCCCTCTGTTATTCAACGTTCATCTGGAATCTCGAAGGTCGGCTCTGTCTCTTCGCCGATGCTTGGTTAAAAATTTGTGGTCTCTGATTGGTTGCATATCTCACAATAACTCATAGAAGAAAAAAACAACCAACAACTCAAAGCTCAACTGACTTCGCACGTTAGTTACAGTGTGAATGGCCTAACTCAGTGTTGAAGTTTCCTTAAACTTCCTAACACTGTTTATTTAGATCAGTCAACATAAAAATTTTGTTATCTTGCCTCTGCAATGTCAATATCAGATCAAGTAAGATCAGTCTGCTAACTCTACCAATAGAAGTGGCAAGACTGACAAACCTTACAAAACGGCCTTTTAATGACCCCCATATATCCTGAACAAGAGTTTCCTCAGTAATTCAGATGACTAATAGTGAATTTAAAGTTTGGAACGTGGACGTGCTTTTAAATTAACAATTTACAAATTGAATCCAAAATTCAAACGAAGCGTAATTCCTTTGTACCTGAAACTTACTCTCAACACTTTTCTGATGATATTTTTCGGACTTGCCGTTAACCGATTTTGGCTGCTTCCCCCCCCCCCTCTCCCTCCCCCCCTCCCCCCAAACCCCAAGAGGGATAAATTGTTTATATAAATAAAAACTATATTTGCCTCAAATCACTTACTCCCAAGATATGCTATGTAATAAAACCAGTAACAAACCAATAACATTTCTCAGGCTAATCTTGCACTTTAAAGTGTCAGCTGAGTTGTTTAAATAATTCATGCAATGTAAATAACGACGTTTTGCACACGAATGTTCAAGCAGATGCTAGCGCAAGGGATTTTGGTTTAGACATTTTATTCAACTTTTTGAATAAGATCATGTGTGCTTTGCTAACATCAGATGAAATTCAATATAGCAGTGCCTGTATTGTACTCATCTGGAATTCCAACAGACAGGACTTTCGAAGTCCTTGATAGCAACAACTTGGCACTTGATATGGTTGAAAAAGCTGAATTTTGGTGTATTTAGGCGAGAATTCTCGCCACCTCACTAGTGTGGCAGCTTTCATGCCAATAGATGACTAGAGTAAGTTCCCCAGTTGATCTTGTTAAAGCCGCACCGTATTCAGACATTAGGAAGAGAGATTACTTCCAACTCCAACGACAGCCTCCCTATTAAGGAAATGAATACTCAAACACATGATTGAGTATGGGATAAATGACTGGCTGCCTAGTAAGCCAATTATGCGGCGATCGGCTATAGGCATGTGTGTGCGTTTAAGTTCATTAATCAATGATCCTGTGCACAAACGCCAAGGATTGTGAGTTCGTTACGCATTGACAGAAAATATTCGATTAGGGTTTCCAATAGTTACCTATCACTTTCTGAATATTAAACCAGTTGGTAGAGGTGGCTCTTACCTTCATGTTGAAAATGGAAGGTTATTCTAGTGTCTTGACTCTAACAAAAAGAGCTTTCTACCCCTTATAGAGAGTGACTGGAGCCCATGTACTGGTCACTTCTTAAAGGTAAAATCAATCAGATGATATCGTCAAGGGTGTTTTAAGATAATCCTTATTTTCGATACTCAGTAAATCCTCGAATTCTCATTTGCCATTAAGCAAAGCCTTCTGCACAATAGGAACCGTCCCCCCATTAGTTTGAAAATGAGCTTCCAGAAATGGTTGCTATTACTAAGACATACTTCGTCTCAAGTGCAAAAAAAGAAAACGCCACATATACTATCTAATTTAAAGTAATAAGATTAAGCATCGCCTCACACAGAGAGCACAAGAACAAATAGTTCGTCGAGTTAATAAATCCGACCTAAGATAACAGCCATTCAAAATAAGGGCAAAACACAGGTAGTTGAACAAGTCGACGAATACTGAATCAACAACACCAAGTAACTGAATGGATAAGAGAGAAGGAAGTACAATAGCATATAAGCGAGCGTGAAATTATATTAATTTTCCACATATTTAGCCAATAAATACACTTAGTGACTTTAGATTGACCACTGATTGACAAGTTATGCATTGAACCATAAGCTAGGTGTATAACATTCGCTACTAGCCACCCGCATACACACACACACTCGCTCTTGTAATAGTGTTCTAAACAGCAAAAGGTAGCTCTGATCATTACTGGCAGCCTTGTACAATTTATAAGAGTGGGCAAGAGATTAATAACTTGTTTACATCAAAATAATCCCACAATGAGACTAGAAACAAAATTTTTGACTAACAATGGTCACATCGTTGTTAGAATGGGAAGTGCGTTAATATTAAAACATACTTAAAAAACGCTTTGATAGGCAGCAAGAGGTATCCAAGAATTCTAAGTGAATTCAATAGAAAATGCAAGCATTTACAACAACAGTAATAGAAACTAATTTAAATATCTATAAAGTAAATTTATACAAAAAATGCGACAAAATACAATCATTGTTTTTTAACGTCATCAGTTTTTTTGCCATGAATTTCTTCCGCGAGTTCAAGGAGCTGATTTAGTTGAAAATCATTAAACTTGTCCAGATCCTCTTCACCAAGGTAATTTCCAATGGGAGGTACTACATCAGATTCCAACTCGCTATCTACTTTCATTGACGACCGAATTTGCTTATTTAGATCCATGACATATCGCTAAATTAAAAATTTATTCATTAAAAATACAATAAGAACGTAAATTTGAATGTTTAATCACATATCGATTATTTGAAGCAAATAAATTTAAAAAAAATAAGAATAAATAACAGAATGTTAAATTAAAATGTAAGCAAAAATTGATAAGGTAATACCTATGTAATACTAGTAAATAATTCAATAAACTAACGGTCCATTCCATCATGAAAGGTCCAACATAAGAGGGATCGCAATTCTTATGCCGCTTAAATTCTTCCCTTACGTACTTATCCCCCAACTCTCGAAACTCGGCTGGTAGAGATCTATGTGTACGAAGAATTAGTTTGTAAAGGAATCGTACACGCTGAGGGTGCGTTAAACTAGCCATTGCTGGTTTCATATCCTCAACCGAACGAAGATAACTTTCAAGAGAAAAACGCGCAGAGTAGCATAGGCTAAAAGCCAATGGGCTAAATTGAGGACGACAATTGTGTTTGTGAAACATGAAATTTTCTGACGGCAACAAAGATTCAAGAAAGAATTATATGTCATTAAGGAACTAAAATAAAAAAAATTTCAAATAAAGAAAAATAGTTCATGGTGCAAAAACACTGATGCTCGGCTTAAATAAGGATAAAGAGTGATTCTACAAGGAATTAAGAAGCATTAATAAAAGCCCTTTATGTTTGAAGTTAAAGAAATAATCTTTATCAAGGAATACAAATTGAGAAAAGAAAATAAATCATGAAACTCTTCAATATACGACTTGAATTTTTAAATGAACTATTTATCCAAGAGAATAAAGACAATTTGTTTCAATTTTATTTTTATTAAGCACATAATACATTATTATGAGGTACAAAGTCATTTTACCGATATAGATATCAAAATTAAAGGCAGCATGTAGAAAATTAAACTTAAATAAAATCACCGAAATTGTGAATGGCGATCCGATGTAGACATGGCAAGCTCTTTTACTTATTTATGGTATCTCAAAAACTGAACTATAACGGGAATCAGATCTTGTTATATCTCTAATTATGAAATTATGACTTTTTATTAATTTAGCATAATATGTCCCAAAATGTCACTCAAATAACATCTTCAAAACTTATTTGCCATTATGAATTGAAATAAAATTACCTTTAAGCTTTGCCCATCTCCTTAAACAGTAACAATTTACTATGTCCTAATTTAGCTTATGCTCTTAAGTTGAACCATTTTTAAGGCCAGGTGTACTTGAACGTTAATGTTAGTGTCCCTTAATACAATGCAGATATAAACTGCACAATAAAGAATTCTAAAATGAATGGTAGAAAAGCAGCACATAACTTATCGATGCTCTTGTTTCGGAATTATCTTGTATTAATCGGTTAACATATACTGGGATGATATTAATTTATCGCTTATTATTATAATACATTATGTTATACTATGCCAAATTTATATTACATATTCATGCGCCAACCCGAGTACATATCTTATTTGAATAGCCTATTCGAAACGAATAAAATATTGCTACTTTTGAGTAATAAAACTTACTATGAGCTTAAAATCTGTATGACTTAGAGGATTAAATGCTAACAGACTCACTTCACAGAACGAAGTAGCTCTTATATGTAAGTCAAAAGGATGCCGTTTTTTCAACTGAATAAGACAGAAGAGAAATATATTACTAATCAAAATCTTGCCTTTTTCTATTACAGTTATTACGAAGAAATCAGAGAAAAATTCATAAATGAGTTATTGACTAGTACTACATTAATTTACATTCAAAATATTTTGCTCATTTCACCATTCAATTTGGTTTCAATTTTTATACAATTTGTTAATTGTTAACCGTTTTTTAAGTTTTTATCTCATGACCATTATTTCCCCTCTCAAGTTCAGTCCCAATCCACTCATTCTTGAATAGAATGGAAATATCGTAAATATTTCTCAAATACAATATATAAAGACCTTAGAATTTTAGAAAAAAATAACGCAAGGTTCATGATTGGTTACAACTGAATTCACAAAGGTCTTATATAAATTAATGCAATTCATAAATCAAATCAATCCGCTTTTATATTAATACTGAAAAAATCTGTCAAAGTAGATTAAGGATTTTGATAATATTAAATGAATGTAGAATATGTTTAATATTCATATCATGTATTTTATGTTTAAACAAAGAAGTTACTTGTTTCTTTGCCCCTATCTAAACTAATTTTTAGGGTAAAATATAATTTCATTCATTTTTCACTTATATATATGAATAATAAAAATTTTAAAATTGAGCATTAATATTGGGAATTGGAACACCTGAACTAGGAAGTTTAGTGAAAATCGTTCTGCTTTTTATGAGTTAACTTCTTTTTGGTCCGCATTGACCTCTAGTCGGCGCAAGCATTAAAAGGCAAAGTCAGTAGCGTTATGCGGTATTTAAATGTGTTGGAATGAATTCCTTTCCATTTATATAATTTAATAATAACTTAATAATAACTTATTATGGATCGTGTCTTTTAAATGTAACAATTGTGAATTTTAGTGATTTTTCATTTTTTTTGTAACTCTAATAATAAACATTGCAAGCATTAATATCTTTTTATAATTAGCATGTTTTTATGTTCATCTTTTTTGCATATGCTTTTTATGATCTTTCTTGAAGTTTTTAACATTTGACGTAATGTTTGACCTTACTTTATGTTATGCCTCAATTCATCGCTGTTTAGAATTGCATTCAAAGCTAAATTAAATGAGGTTAAAGAATATTTTCGATTTTAATGACCATAAGCTAAATAATTTATCGAAACGATAAGCAAGCCTTTTCATTCTCTCCCATGCAATACTATTGTTTCATATTTAAATTACTAGATCGAAATACGGTTTGGTAAATATCACGACTGATCAGATTCGTTCATTTAATATATATTAACGAAAATGATCGAATATCATCACTGTCGTCCACTTTTTATGTCTTTATGCAGTGATGCAAATGCAATCAATTGATATTTTTCCTCATCACATATTGATTTCAATTTATCTTTTAGCAGCTGTGTCATAATGGATAATAATTCAAGACAGATGCATGGCTTCGATATGATAACCCCATCATCCTCAAGCCGCGTTTTTCTTAACGAATCACCCATCATTCCTCCTTATCAGAATTCATTGTCTAACAGCATCTCTGAATTATCATCGAACCATTTCAACGAAACCTACGGGAATTCAAACAACGGCAAGTCTTACAAAATTTGAGTTGTTTCATGTATCGATTCCCTGCAAATATGCAATCGCTCTTCGATTTCGAACTTTTTTATGATTCATAATTTCAACTTTTGCTTAAACATGTTTTTAGTTACCATCTGACCTACTACATATTTTTCATAATAATATAAATTGATTCCCTTGAAATTACCACATTTATTTCATTTTTATTTTGCTTGATATAAAATTACTTAATATGTACCTGAAACATGCTATTCTCCTAAGTTTATTTTAAGCTTTGTACATTCTAGCACTTATGTCCAATACAAAATCAAATGGTCTGTTATCTCTAAACGTCGGAGGTTCACAAGCTGAACAAAAATTTTCCAAAGTAAGTTCTTCCTTTCGTTTCGTCTCTTAGTCATTTTCAATTATATTTTATAATAATGAAATCCGCTCGAGGCTATAATCATATGCGTTCCTAAATCTAAAAAATACGGTCTCCTGGGAGACTTCTTTCTGGAGATTATATATCCCATGAAAGTGTGTGTGTGTGTGTGTGTGTGCGCGTGTGTTTTAATCAACTGATGCTTTATTTAAAAAACATTTCTGCGTTGTTTTATTTTCTTGTCCACAAGTGCGTATAAGATCGTAGCTAATTAGAACTCCATGTCTGGGACAATCTCATTTCCATTAGTTTCTATTCACTTTGGTTTTTCGTTAAGTCAACAAGTCCAGACTCTAATAAGTTTCTGGCATGATGAAACAGGAAAGTCAAATAAATGAATAATTTATAATGTAGGGAAAATTTTATTCGCTCCTTTAAGTGCTTGAATTTCGATAGCTTTTAAATATGGTAAATATAGTTCCATTTTAGAATACTGATTTAATAGCTGTACCGTTACCCACTTTTCAACCGATTCAGTTATGCTAGCAGCGTATTAGAGTTTGGCATAGTCATTTTTAGATCAACAGTGTTGTAATTTTTTTTGGTATGATGATCAAACTATTTAATTTGTTTAATTGACACTTGTCAAATGGCATGATCTTTTTTGGACGAATTGAGTGCGTTTGGAAGTCGTAAATAGTGCTAAACCAATTTTTTCCAACATGAAAATCTGGTTGTAGACTCATAAACTTAGTCTGTGGTTTATGGACAATCGTGGGAGTTTTCGCGAGCTAATAATTTTTTACGTTTGCTAACAAATGCTTGATTTAGGTGTTTGCGAGACTTGAAAGTCGGCTTGATTGTCGCAGTTCTGCGAGAAGGCTGAATTGACTTCTGAGGTAATCAAAGTGTAATCATCCTACTGAAATGGGGAAAGATATTTCTTTGGTTTTTATTTAGTGCGTAATCAGGTTGCTGGCAGCTCAAACCCCGCTGGTAGAATACAGGTATTTATATTACTTAACGAATTCACCTCGTTATTTTATTTGGAACAATCGGTTACTTGGTGAGCTTCCAGTGCCGTTGATTTCATTCCCGAATATGACCTTTGAATTAAGTTCAAGATATTGAAAAGATGCTACTTATTTAGTCAAATTATTTTATCGAAAAAGAGTAACTAATTTTAATATTACCGATAAAAATTTGACATGGAGTTGCTTAGTTTCATACACATTAGGGTGTTATTCAATGAAGGATAAGGTAAAATATGAGGATTTCTTTAATGAGAAGTAAGGTTATTTCCGGAACTCTGGTCATCATCTTCAGCACTTTGTCCTCAGCACCTGGATCGGAGTAGGGGAGGGAGGGGAGGGGGTGAGCAAGTGAACTGTTTTCCTTGAAGAAAGATTTGAATTTTCGTGTAGTTTTATAAGACATTATTTCAAAACCACTTCTATATTACTTGATACCACAAAAAGTGTCGTCTGGAGTGGGTGATTGAATAATAATTTCTGCCCTACAGTGAGTTGTTTATGCCAGGATATGGAGCTTTGAAATCAGCCAAAACTGTTGTAACTTAATTTGTTATTCTCTATCTGAAATCTTTGATTGTTTGTGAGCTGACGCGAGGGGCATAACCCATTCCTAGTTGTTGGTGCTTTGTTCAAATTCTTGGCATTACACAAACGTTTGATGATTGTCACCGTGCCGTCACTTACTCCCTATTTATTTGTCTATATGGTTCAGTCCAAGCTAGGCTGACGTTTGGCCAGTCGCTGCAAGCATTCGTGCCTGCACATACACACACACACAATAGTGAAATATAAACAATGCATAAATCAACAGAATGTCACGACTACTGTTATTCCTACAAATCAGCGTTTCCTTTTAATGATTTCGTTTTACTTCAGGGTGATGTAGTGAAAACGCCGAACGGTGTGCGCAAGAAGTTCAATGGAAAGCAATGGAGACGTCTCTGCTCCAAAGAGGGCTGCACGAAGGAGTCACAACGACGAGGATTCTGCTCCCGACATCTTTCACTAAGGGTGAGTTATCGGCAAACATACTTCAAATTAAAGAAGGAGCTTCAAATTCCTTTTTTGCAATTGATGTAATACTCTGATAACTTGTACAATTTTTTCGCCTAAACTAAGTTGCCTCCATTGGTCAAGGAGCATGACGATGAAACAGAATAAGACAAAGGGCAAAAGAACAAAATTTTGGCAAAGGCAAATCAATCTGAGTACAGGAAAACTAAACTAATGCGAATGTTAACACAGATGATTTAAGCCAGCAAAAATATTTTTGGTTGTAATATTTTTGAAAAATGAGAACACCGGGGGAGGGGGAACAAATTGCAAGAGAGAATTTGCTCTAATTTCAAAGTTTTCGTAAATTATTCGTCTGCTTTCTTCCTTGAGGAAAGTTCTTGACAAAATGGTTAAACATGTAATTCTTTCAACTCTATTTTTCCTATATGAGGTAGCGCGGTAGTGTACACCTACCAAACGAAATAGAAGCCACTAACCACAACAATTCAATTACTTTTGGGGAAGGCGGCAAGAGTTGAAGTCACTGAAAGTGTATGGTTTTCAAAAATTAAACGCCATCTGAAATATCAGGCAATTTAACAATTAAGAGTCAAATATATTTTGTTTAAATAACAAGGAGACAGAAGAAAAAATAACATAAAGGCTAAAATTTTGTTTAATAATAAGATCCCACATAAACTGCTCCATTTCTAAAAGTATAACGGGGATATGAAATATTATTTATTTATTTATATCAAATGGCAGGCGTCTTGATGGTTATCATTAGCCCTTTGGTTGACTTCAGGCTTCACAGAAGGGAAGGA